GAAAGAAGTCGCACCAAGTTAAATACTTTCTGAACAATCAAAGCAGGTGGTGCGTGCGCTGTCGTTGTCGTGTACACATGACGCGTTCACGACTCAATTCTAACATTTCCATGACGTCATCAGTCGCAGAACTGAGCTTAATTTTACTGTAAACTCATCTAGTAGCTATTCACTATAGGGTGGTCGAAATTTTTTGGGAAGAGATTACCGGAAACACCTATCTATGAGAAGATTTAAAGGAAGCGATTACGATAAAGAGGGAGCGCATCGGGGAAGCATGTGCACCACACGAATCAGTTACTTGGGGAAGCGAGATGTGCTTCACAACGAAAGGTGCGCTGGTTGCTGAGCAGGACTTCGAAAGCGCTCCGCCCCCAAAAGCGATCCGCCCACAAGTTTACTTGTTGATTTGGACGAGCTGCGTGGCCAGCAGCGGCGCAAATGGAGCATCTCGCGTAGTTTGGCATGGTGCCATCAAACGCGTTGCGGTGAACTCGTTCATACGTCCACTTTCTGAGCTGTTACCTGTTCATGAGTGAAAACCAACGGCCAAAAAAGGGGTCCCGTTTTGCGTTTTCTTGACGGATTTTTCTGCTTTTTTCGCACTGGCGTACCATTGAGCACCACCACGTCACACTAAACCTCCCTTCTTGAACTATCGTAATCGCTGCCTTTAAAAAATTCTAGCTAACACGCGATTTCTATAACACTTCGTCAGTTACGGCACCTCTAGGGAAGAAACAAAGTTTGGGGCTATATCACGATCCAACACAGGTTCATATTTTTCTTTGAACAGCAGAACCCAAGCAGAAGTTGTAAGAAGGATTCTTTTCTGTAAGCAGAATAGTTTCTAGAGGTGACTCATAACGGATGTGGCACTTGTGGGCATGAAAGGTAGCTGCAGCAGCTGCAATGTTCTCTTCTGCAGTAGGCTGTTAATGGCGCCCCCACCTGTTGCGCTCTCTCGCCTCGAACTACTTTGCACTCAGTCTTTCATTGTCTTACGAGGAAGGTCTTTCAGGAAATGCCCAGCTTTCTCGAAACGGTTTTTGCATGATATAGGGGTACGTGCATGGAACACAGAACTGTAGTTCATTTTTCCTGAGCGGCCCTCTGAATACCAAAAAAGGGTGATGAAGTGGTCCGTGGTTCGAATCCTCGCAGTGACAATTTTTTGCATTTTGTGTTGGCGTTTCAAAATTGCGAAAAATAGCGTCAACTATTTTTCGCTTTTTTTGAGAAGCCAACACAAAATGCAAATAGCTTTTTTAGCAAAATGCAAACAAAGATGAAAATAGCTTTTTTAGTGCCGGCCTGCTGAAATTCGCACAAATATTTTCACGTTTGTGTGCAAGTTGGGCCTGGCATAATATTCTAAGGTGAAATGCTTATATGGAAAAGAAAGGGTAGAAGAGTAGAAAACTACAGCGTGCTTTTTTGAATGTTTGTAAAGCTGATGCCTCACACTTGCTCTTCCATTCCATAGAACCATGATAAGACTTTACCCGGAGGGACTTTTGCTCCAACTTGCCACGCGATTTTAACTTGGATTCTAATTTGAGATCTTGCGCGAGGTGTGCGAGGTGAGGTGAAACCCACTTGCAGCGCATCAGCCCTGCTCTGTCATAATCTGTTAAGAATTTCAAGGGCTTCATCGCAGTTCTATCGGCGATGTTCATTCTTTAGTCATAACCTTCCTTCTACCGTCTTTTCCGAAATTTGCAAAAGAAAACATTTGCCACGTCAATTATTCCGAGCGCCATCTGCACTAAAGAATTTATCACCACGTAAGAGAAGCCACGCGAAAACTCTATAAGCTCTTCCCTTTGCGTGACCTTCACAAGGCTTGCCGAAGAAATCGCATTCCCCCTAAACCGAAAATGCAGTAATGCGATGAACGCTATGTGTTTCTAGGCTTGGGCGGAGACTGCGGAACATCGTATAAAAGCTTTAGTGCTTAGCGAAATTACAAGCATGACCGGCGACGTGAAGCACTGGGAATCAGAGGCACTCTCCCTCAGGAGAGTCGCCTTCTTTGGCGTGGCCCTTTCCACCGTGGCCACCCTTATCTGTGTGATCTCCGTCCCAATGCTTTACAACTATATGCAGCACATGCAGTCGGTCATGCAGAACGAGGTCGACTTCTGCAAATCCCGCTCCGGAAACATCTGGAGAGAAGTCACTCGCACTCAGGTAAATTTGTTGATCTCCTTTCATTAGAACCATGCGAATTCTAAAGCTTCGTGAGTTCAGGCACTTGCTGGATCAACCAGGAAAGCCCGTCAGGCCGGAGGTGGATGCTGCGGATGTGGTGTCTCTCCAGCTGGACCACCCGGACCACCTGGACAGGACGGAGAGCCCGGAACAGACGGTGAGCCTGGACAGCCTGGACGAGACGGACCCGATGGACCACCAGCAACACCGGCTCCTGATGTCACCCATGCTTCAACTGCCCAGCTGGTCCTCCCGGTCCAGCTGGAAACCCAGGAGGTAGAGGAACACCAGGAAATCCTGGATCTGACGGCCAGCCCGGAGGTCCTGGAAACCCAGGAGGTGCAGGTCCCCCTGGACCACCAGGACCACCTGGAGGCAATGGTCAGCCCGGAAACCCAGGAGCTCCAGGAGCCCCAGGAACCCTCAACACTGTTCCCGGCACTCAAGGACCACCCGGACCACCAGGACCCCAAGGACCTCCTGGACCCGATGGTCAACCAGGAAGCGCAGGAAACCCAGGACAAGATGGTGGACCTGGACAACCTGGAGATAATGGTCAACCTGGAGCCCCAGGACAGCCCGGTGGCAATGGAACTGACGGAGATGATGGAGACACTGGAGCCCCAGGAGGTTGCGACCACTGCCCACCTCCCCGCACTGCTCCAGGGTATTGAGTGCTCTCTGCTCAACAGTAATTTGCGAATCAGTCGAGTGTAGTTTCTGTCATAAAGAGATTTTCAACATATTGTGTCCTTTCACATCACCCATAGCAAATTACATTGCAGCAATTAACACCTCTGTTCCAGCCCAAGGTTCAACCAAATGTTTTCGTTTTAGCCTAGCTAGGGTAGCTCATATCAACCAAATGCGTAGCGCGGTGTTTTTTCTTCGTTGGCTGGAGCACATAGCCAGCGCATGTTTATACCTCGTAGCCGTGTGCTGCCAATGAATATAATTACTTCATTTAGCACATTAACGATAATGCGGGGCGCACACATACCGTACTTTCACACGCAGGGCACTCGTTTAGACTAGTTGTGCTGCCACCTTCATGTTCCAAAACTTACCGTTAAGATTCTATCGGATACGAAAAATATAATAGGCTGGGGAAGTTTATCTTGTTTGTTACTAATTTTGACTTGTCACATGCCTACCATGAAATCCACCATTTTTCTCCAATGCTCAGATATTCGCGATGTTACTTTTCCAGAATGTGGACGGGTGCGAAGCGAATTTTTCGTTGACCACTAAGTAAGTTCGGAATAGGTGGCAGCTTTTCAGAGCTTGACTAGGGAAAACGCTAGATGAGGTAAGGAATTCAGCTTAAGGAATTCTTATCCAGTCCATTTTGCAAAATGTTGGCTCGCCATGTCATCAAGGAAGTAAACGATGGAGCGCGCGGTGCGAGCGTTTTTGACGTGCTTCTCGACCCACTTCTGCAGCTTCTGCAGCGTGAACTCGTACGTACAAAGTGGTGGCTCATCGACGATATTTTTTGGTTAAGCTCCGTGACAGCTTTACCTCTGATGGAGAGTGGGAGGCGCTTCTGGCCCCTTTAAATATCGACAGTCTTTGAATTTTCTTGGATAGTTACCGGTTGAAGTGCCTAGTCCACCCAGTGTGGTGAATGCCTTCAGAATGCTCTACTATTCGTTGGTCATATATGTTGGACTATAGAACTTCCAGAGAAAGGAATATTTGAAAAAAGTGTCGCAGCATTTTCCAGTCTAATATCCACTTATCAAAGTAAGACCCCAACAGAAGTTGTCGAAGTATCTGTTTAGTGGGCGGAATAGAGTAGCCTACGAGTATCAGGGATGTGCTGTTGTTGCGACTCACAGTCAGAGGTGCGCGACCGTGATGGTAGGGTCTTACAAAGTGGACTTATGGCGACTGCTCTTAACTTTGACAAATCCATTATGGACGAGTTACTCGCGCACACCCCATGACACGCAACATGGAGAACGAGACTAATTCAATTACGCCTGGGCTACTTGACAAGTGGAGCAGGCAAGTTCGTACAACTCGTCTGCATCCGCCCCATCATTACTTCAACGAAGAATCCTTGTTGAAGATTTCATCGGCGTTTTTTTTCTCCTATTTTTCATTTTTAATCAACCCGACAATCACAACTTTAAAATCGATCGCTTTGGCTCCACTCTCGCTCCCAGCTGTTTCGAATGCTAGTTCTTCCCATGTGACTCTTATTTTTGATGTTGCAGATCCCACCTTATTGGCCCCTCCCCTAAAAGGAATCCTCGAACTGATTACGCGACCACTTGGTCACGTAATCAGTTCTCCGGAAGGTTCTGGTGGAGGCGGTGTTTGAATAGAAAGTTTTTCTACTGTACAAAACGCTTGCTTTATTGTATTGGCACCCATTTTTCATTTGTAAACTAGATAGACTGCTACACGTAAGACCTGATTACGAAGTATACACTGCGTTTCATAAATTATAGGTCCACCCTAATTTTTTGCTATTCCAAAGTTGCTGTGCATTTTTGGAAAATGCCGCTATTACCAATAGTTTCCCCATAACGAAAAACCTTGATACTTGATTTCTGGAGAAATCTCGATTCAGAATTATTAAAATATCTTCCTTAGAACGTATTTTCACCGTTTCGCAAATATGACTACACATCACTTGTCGAGAGATTTTACTATAACGAAAAAACGTCACGAATTTTCAATAATGGGATGACCCCCCAATAATCATAAGGAACACAATAATACGTTTTGGAAATGCTGGTAACCAAATTAGCTATTACATAGGATCGAAATTTGTCTGCGCGCTGATGATCGACGTTTTCAGCTCTTCGGCTGTTCCATTTTGCTTTTCTTTGCTGTGGAACTTTATAACAATTAAGGCCTTATGATTCTCTATTGGAATCTGATTCAGATAACATGGTGGCCACCAGATAACTGCCACATTTTTTCCTGCAATTCCATCTGGCGTGGAAGGACCGGCATGGACAGCCGCGTTATCGTGCGTAAAAATCAAGGTTCGAGGGGGCTGTTGTCGAAAGATGGTAAAGTCGCTTCAGAAGAACTTCACGATACCCTATGGAATCCTCGTGAAAGGAAACAAAACGAGCTCTAGCCGCTCAGTCGTTCAAAGGTGCCTCAAACCATAAGGGATTCTCCGCCAAAATTACCTTACTTCGAAACCATCTGCGATTTTCACGGAACCATCCTGTACCCTCTTTTTCCATCAGATCCACCTAGAATAAACTTTTTCACGTCGATTCCAGATCACCCGTAGCATGAAACGAGGAGGTGGAGTCCAAGATCACGAAGGGTCCTGGCAGCCACACCTTCGTTCATTAACTTGAGCCCTTTTCCACCTAGAAATGGAGACGTGCGATCTTGTAGCGCTCAAATAATCTTGGGACGCGCTTCTTCAATCCGCTGAAGATGTCATTGCTCTGCTGGCTTATTCACACACGGTGGTTTTGCTTACGGAAGGCCGCATTTCAGCACGGACTTTGTTCGGACGCCTTATCCAATTCGACAGAAGACGCCCAATTCCTCTTGATTTTCAATGAAACGCTGTCATTATTTACCAAGGCTACTCTTCTTCCCGCACAGACCGGGATTTCGCACATAGTTGCTTATGCATCATGAGCCGGCCGACATGGGAGGCAGTTCTGCTTCTCAGCCATCAAACTTCAGTAAGGGCTCTGGTTTGAGCTTGTTACTGGGAAGAGAGGCGAGTAACACGAGGTATGGTAAACTCGATGTCGACTGAGCTCACATATATCCCCGCTTCCCTGATTCCCTTCACGGATCATGAGAAATGGAAACTTTTTATGAGTGGCCCGATTATTCATGAAACGGTGAAAATTCGTTCTGAAAAAGTTAATTGGGTTACTTGAGGGGGAACTTTGTCAGAAAAACACTATAAAGGTTTTCCGTGATGAGGAATCTAATGGTGATAGCAGCATTTTCAAAAAATGCACAGCAACTTTCGGGGTAGCAAAAATTTAGGGTGGACCTATAATTATGAAACGCAGTGTATATTGCATGAAATATTAAATACCATCCAGGTGGATCTTAGACCGGTCAGACTCTGCGATTGCATCGCGCGGATGCAGTCGCTCTTCCTAGAGCGGGCCATTGCCCGCCGCTTGCACTTTTGGCAGAGCGATTGCATCGCGCGATGTAATCGCAGAGTCTGACCGACATCTTACTAAAGAGCATTTGTGATAGTTAGGCACGAAGCGAAAATAACATTCAGGCTAACCGCAAACTCTGAAATACGCCTGAGCAAACGCTGGAAAGCTGGAAACAGAAGCGTCCCAGGTTTTTTTTGGACACTTCTCTACAACCATTCAACGAGCACCTCTCAGGATATGGTGGTACTTTGTCAACGCAAGTCCTAAGGTCGAATGATTTCAAAAGGATTTCATAATCGCCTGAATAACGGTCTGAATTAGATCGTGACTCTAAACCAAGACCTCAACCTCAAGACTTTTTTTTGGTTTCGAAAACCTGCCATTTTGGAATTCAACATCCAAATTATATGCATAATCATGTTCACCCGTTCTTTTGTCAATGGATGTCCCGCTTCAAATTTCACTTTTCCGGCTTTCATGCAAATCTTGGAATCTCAGACTAATGCGCACTCCCCTTGAATGAACTTGATTCAACACGTGCCAGCCATTAGAGCGAAGCACAATGAAGAGAACAATGATACTGCTCGACGAAATAAGAAGAACCTCGGATTCTTGATTCGATATGAAAGCTTCCTTTCTAGACGGGATTGTGAATGCTAGGCTTGGTTGGGCAAGAAGTGTAGTCTTCGTGGGATTTCATAATATTGATTTTTCCTCAGAGTAATGTCAGGGCGGAAGTGGTGTAGTGGCAAGTGGCACGCTTACCACGCGAGCGGTCCGGGGATCAAATCCTGGGTCGTGAGTCGCCCGGGCCAACCAAGCCTTCCATCCCTCCGGGGTCGGTTAATTGGTATTAGGTCGGTCAAAAAGTATCCGCCGTTTTGACCCCCTAATTTTGAAGCACCACAACTTTGCTGAAACACAATCTTTTTGTTCGAAATAAAAACTGCTATGTCCAGCAGATTGTTCTCAATCAGACCCATGCTAAGAACTTCCCTTCCTATAGATCTTTAATTTATTATAGGCTAAAAGCTGTAGGAAGGCGCATTTGACATGCCTCAGTTCTCAACGCGATTTCTCCTCCAAGAACTATGTTGAAAAGCGGGGAATTGGTGGTTCGTGAAAGATGTACCTGGGCTATATAAAGGATAGCAAAAGAACTTCTGAGCCATTTCTGAATGGATTCTACAGAGCGTATTTTGCGGTGGGCGATTTAGCGCTATCGTGGTGAAGGACTGGACCTCATTTTTTCCTTGAAGCAGACTATCATCCCCGTAGTTTCTTATGTTTTATGTTCTACTCTTTACGACAGGACTCGGCCGTCGTCGAATGAGTCAATTCTCGGACTTTGAAATGAGCTAGGCCATCGAAAATTGAGGAAAATCCTTATTGGAGGCGCTCCAGGTTTTACACCGTTCCAAGGCAGCTTGGCTTCGTCCACATATTTGGT